AACATCCAGTCCAAAGAAATCGCAATGGCTTGCTACAAGACAACAGACCTACATTACGGACGGCAGGTTGAAAAATGTGTCAATCTACTTTTACCGTATTTCAATTTCTTGAATATTTTTTGTACGCTTTGAAAAATAAATCAACATTCTAATATGAAACCCAACATATCTGCACTGTTTTAAAATTATGTTACATTTCTACTATAAATTCAAATATTATTAAACGCTTCTTATTTGAAAACTAAATCAACATTCTAATATGAATTCCAACATTTATTAAATGTTATGTTTTTACAACGAAATCAAATCCGCTTACTCGCGATCGTACTTATCATAATACAGAGAGATCTAGCAGACGACAGTTTGTCTCGCAGTATAATTTATGGAAAGTCTGTTATAACAGTTTTACTTGAAACAGTTGGCATGTACAACATTTAACCTGCATTTAAAAGTATCCCTAAATACGACCAAACGTCTATTGTGACCTACCTTTCAGGCTGTAAACACAAGTGGTCGTGTTTCAACGACACGCACACATATATATCCCCTCGACTCGGTCAAGCGAAGCGTGTAACTCGGCGTTAAGTGTCGCGAAACCAGTCTTGCATGTCATTCATTCAGATGCAGTTTTCCGGGCGACACAGAAGGACTACAAGCCCTCTTCTCAGAGGAATACCTCTGTCCGGGTTTTAAACATCAACTCGGGCAGACCTATCGTTCACAACTACTCACCTGTCAATGCAACGACTAGACTTGATATTACAAGTCTGCTCCGTTGCAGATTGACACAGAACACATATATGCTTGGCCGCCATTGCTCCGGACGTCCACACACTGCTGATGCACAGAAGGCGTGTAATTAATACACCATGCTCGTCCCTACTAACTCGAGATATACACACTCAATCAGCCCTCTGTTGTTCTAGGCATATAGTATATTCTTGTCCCGTGACCTCGGTCTTCTCAGGTAGATAAACATATTCACAACACTACAGTCGTATCTTTTGAGGGTTATCAAGTCGCCATGAAACATCTCCCGTTCCTAGATAAATAAACTGGGTTGGTGCATCCCGATATTCACATAAGAAACGACACGCGCACATATACTTATATATTCCATGCATGCTTTTAGTAATTATTCCAGCAATATCACGGCGGGGAACACTAGAAATGGGCTTCACCCATTGTACAAATGTGGGGAATCGAACCCGATTCTTCAGCGTGACAAGAGAACGCTTTAACCATAAGGCTACCCCACCGCCCCGGCCACACGATAACCTCGATTTTCCACATTTTCTTGAAAATAGTCCATGTGTTCTTTTCCGAAATCAGTATCTACGAGGTACACGTAACTCCACAGGAACGTTCCGATTCTTAACACAAGTAGGCTATACCTATATCCATCCATTCATTCATTCATTCATGTGTGATAGCGAATACCGCCGAATGACGAGGTTTGTCCCTGTGGCAAGATGCATGGCACTGAAAGGTGTAACAATCAGTCAAGTTTATTCTCCAATCACCAAAGGTGCTATACGACTACATATGCAAACAAATGGGTCTGTGCAGAGTTGCATCCCCGGGGCACGCCAGACATATGATTGTCAGGGGTTCGAATCCTGGTTCGCTCTGAATATGTGCCACGGTGTGTTAGTACCATACACGTGCGCATGGACTTCACCAAAATGAAGTGTGATACCTGCATCACTTCGGATTTTCCTCCAAGAAGAGGCCGATTTATAACTGAAATACTATGTTGTTACTGAGGAGCGGACCCGTGAAGATCCGGGTTAGAATTGATCTTCAGCATCCCATGCTTGTCGTAAGAGGCTACTAACGGGATTGGGTGGTCAGGCTCGCTGACTTGGTTCACACATGTAGTCGTATCCCAGTTGCGTAGACCGATGCTCATGTGTTGTCTGGTCCAGACTCTATTATTCACAGACCGCCGCCATATAGCTGGAATATTGGTTAGTGCGGCGTAAAACTATACTCACCCACTGAGGAGCGTCAAACCAAGTGTGTGTGTGTGTGTGTGTGTGTGTGTGAAATACCAGCATCTATGCCTCATTCACTAAAGTTCCTCCTACAGTTTTAAAAAATGTGTCACCTTGCTGGTTGAGACAAGCTAAAGTACATCCAAACTAAACATCTCTAAACAAGCTCGTCTCCACATCGCTACGCCTTGTGCAGCACAGGGTTGTCCAAGACGAGCACCTCCTGCAGTAATGGGCAACATCTCTATAATTACACTTGCAGCACGCTGACAGATGCTGTCATCCATCACACGCGACAACAACACCGCCATAGACGGTCCAGCGATGCTGCAAACTCTTTGTGAAATGTTTCTAAGGTATGAAGGCCAAATCAACGGTATTTATTAGCACTTCACTCAACTTAACCCAATGCAAAAGCGACAAAGTAAATGGGTTTCTCGTCCAAACCTAATTAACCTAACGTAAAATCGTGTTCCTCAACTTCATCAATACTTGGACCAGAATGTCAGCTACAGTTGCCAAGGTAGCGAAATATTCCAACTATGAATTCAGTGGCGAAATCCTTGACTGCTGAAGAATGCGATACCTATATGTGATGAATATGACTGACATATTTGTTCGCATGGATGTGTCTATCTTCCAAACGTTTAAGAGGTTAGGGGTCAGTTCTATTCATGCAACTATCTGCCATCCCGATTTCTGTGCACAAATGATTGTGATTGGCCGACTGAAAAGGGCACCGGCGGTTACTACAGGGCACCTGTTTCAGTGGGGTCTGTCATGCACTACCTCATATTATCAGGCACGTTTTCGGTTAAGATTCGACCATTCGCAGGTCGATGTGAGATGATTGTAATAGAGCTCCCTCTGGCTCAATCGAGTTATTAAATGACATCATTGTAAAAACAACGTTACCATGTCTAGGGCAGAAAAACAAGCGTCCAGCAATCCCAAAGTTCAATCCTGACGAAGGAATATGGTGACACACCACTGCAAGGCCCACAAGCAGTCATTGCGGCCACCCAATCTCCTTTTATCCCTACGACAGACAGGGCGAAGCTTGGCACTACCCTGTCCGACCGAGTGATAGTAGTGGTTAAGGGGGCGGTGGGGTAGCCTAGTGGTTAAAGCGCTCGTTCATCACGCCGAAGGCCCGGGTTCGATTTCCCACATGGGTACAATGTGTGAAGCCTATTCCAGGTTACCGACGCCGTGGTATTGCTGGAATATTGCTAAAAGCGGCGTAAAACCATACCCCTAGTATTGGTTAGGCTTTCTACATCTTATTGTATGCTACCCGGCTACTTTAGGTACACGTTTCAGGATGAAGCCAGTTGTTTCATTTCAGCCACCTGTCCTGCATCCTCTGTTGACCAGTGTTTCATACCGCCATTCCTTTTCGGTAAATATTCTGGACCCTTAACTTGGTTCAGGGTGTAAATGAGATTTTTCAGGTTGGATCGAGATGGCCGAGAGATTCCGATTGGAAACTACGGGGGCAAATGTACCCAGGGTGGGTACTGGATTAAGGAGGGTGACTCTCCTGATGCAAATAAATAGAGAGGAAAACTTTCCAAATTTACGTAATTCCTAATTTCTCATTCACGACAGGGATCATAACACTAGTTGTTAAGGCGGGTGTTAATGTCGATGTTTAATCAACCTTGGGTTCGTTACACAGGACGATCTACGAGCTGAGGCTGGCATAATCTCACCGCATGTAGATCGTAGCTCGGATCAGTTACGGCAAATTCCCACAGTCATGCCTAACGTACGACGTGCACCCGCACCCGCAACATGACGCGATGGCTTACCGTGCCCCACCACGCACTCTATGATAGAAGTCGTTATAGCTGGGGTGCGTTACAACAAACATACCCTAAGTCACCGTCAACTGGCATGGACTGCAGATGCGTTGTCGGAGCGGCAGTCTTGTACAACATCGCACGTAAATGCAAAGTCATAAGTACGTGCAAGTGTCATTTAATGAGTGAGTTGGGTTTTACACCGGGGAACACTAGAAATGACTTCACACATTGAAACCATGTGGGAAATCGAACCCTGGTGATGAGCGGACGCTTTAACTACTAGGCTACCCCACAGCACCTCGCGTCATTCACGGCGCGTTTGCATATTCAACGTAGAGTGCGACGTCGCCATCGCGGTCGTCACACACAAGGTATATCCTGTCGATAAGCAGATACGTTGATTCCCCAACGAATTACGTAGTGGACAGAGAGAGTAGAAAGACGTGCCGGTGTGGCACTTGACTGGATATGTCATTCACTGAATACACGACCTACGCAGCCATTCAGTAACACCACTGAATGCCGAATAAGTGTATACACAATATTCTGTGAATGAGGGGGCGTGCACAACACGAAACGTTTTCAAGTAACGCCACAGTTCATCATAAGCGGGATTTCGGGCAAAGTGGCATCAAAATTCATGACTCCAAATCCTTGTTTATCCTGTAACTAATATGATGCTAAATATTTGGGACACAACCTTAGTTTCACACACGGCAATAATGACAGGGTTTAATGGTCGTCTATTGACTGGGATCGGCAGCGGCCTGTAGCATCTTCTGTTCAGCTCCATAAAATTCCGACACCTCAAGATCCACATCCTTGTCAATGACTCAGATATAGGAGTATATCATGTTTACGACAAACGAACCTTAGAAGAAATACTGTCCTCATCATAAATCCCATTTTGATCATTGTATTAGATGGCTAAAATTACGCTACCATCCATATAAATACACTTAAAGTTTCTGTAACTGAACATAAATAAAGGTATATTCGGTACAAAACAAAAATACCGCACCCACTAACCACCCTCACGTAATTCACGAAATAGTCCCGGGACCCCTACACGCCCCGTGCCCACCCCAGGACCCCTACACAACATACCTTGATTCTATAAACGTCAGTGAGGAGACAAGATTGCCACATTAAACTTTAAATATTACAGCTGGGAGGTTACGAGTCTTCAACATACCTGTGTGCTGTGAAGTCCTAGAATTCCGAATGGCCGCTCCTTGTGGCCCAGGGAATATATTCCTTTTGTCTACAGTGTCCTTGTCTGGCTGTCGCTCGCCCTCACTACATCTGTGTCTGGCTCTCTAGGACGAGAGGCTGTTTTCACAGCACGTATAACTGTTGCCGCTATCCCTGCACGCGGGTAATCCCCTACCAGTAGAGCTAATCACAGCGCTGTAACAACTTGCGGCAAACTTCACTCACACGAGTTTTTAAAAAACAACATACAAACTCATGATGTCACGGTCACGTGGACGGGGGACATGTTTGATAAACCATGTGGGGGCAACATGAGGAAAACTTGTTGCGTTTTGGCGACTAATCGAAGGAATCTTACTTTTCCTCACCGCTGTCGGTTCGTAATTGGTGATCATTTCTACTGCCCACAAGACCGTATACAAACTGTCAGTGTCATTGTGACCTGTTCTCAACTTTACAAGGGTTGGTTTATAGAGGAATGACGAACTATAGGTTTTTTTAATATTTAATTTGTAAAATGCATGATTACGATCGCCCCTCCATATTTTGTGGACGCGTCAAAAATATAAAAGTCATTCAAAGCGCAGGGCAATGCGAGAGTCCGGATTATCGTCTTGTGCCAAGCAGGACACCCCAATGGTAGTCATATTACACATCTTCTTTGGACAAGATGAACAGGTGATCGACAGAATGAGAAACGATCCTCGAAATTAATGGGTTAAGATGACACACATCCACAACCTCTAATCTCCAGTTTTGTCGGCTCTTACGGCCAACATTGCCACCAAGAATCGCTTCTGTACCCTTAATCTGGGAACACAGAGGATGTCAAAGATTGGTAACATTGCCATTAAGTGTCTATAAATTGGTACCATAGACAAGAAATATTGTCATGCAAGAACATTCGTTTATCATATCGACCGACTTCTATCAGCAATGGTACACCGAGCAAATTAACCTGAACGGTTCGTGGAACCAGAACATGAATAAAGCACATGATCGCAGCGCCGAAACGGAGCTCTGTCATCTCGAACTACCTGTTTAAACGTAAGGGGACTTCCCACGGCTGTTACAATTAGCTAACAATACACGTACGCCAGAGCATTGTGATTCTTAGCATTCTCACAGGGTCTCGATGAATAACTAAACTCACAGATTTTCAGTTATAAACTTCGAGATTAGGCGTGCTTTCACCGCAATTTGACTTTATAAAAAAAACTGTGGGTAACAGCGATGTCACCAATTAGGCGTGTCCTTCTAAAATAGAGCTATTTGTATAACAGACATTCTAAATCTCGCTCATTCAATTTGTGAAAAGAAACAGATTTGTTAGACCGAAACAGATTGCCAGTATAGTCAGCAAGCATGTCGTTCAGCCTATTGAAGGACCATTCGCGTTTCAAAGTGCGGAGAACGATTCCAGGGCCCATCTTCAAAAAGCGATTAGTTGAATACATGGCCAGTGGTACAAAACAACAGTAATCACTGGCTATTCATTCCACACGCCGCCCGTGAAGATGCGGGTTATAACTGGTCTTCATCAAAGTTGCTGTCGTAAAGGGCGACTAACGGGATCAGATTGCCATGCTAGCTGAACTGATTGATGCCAGTCACTGCGCCGATCGATGCTCATGATATCGATCATTGGGTTTCCGGTCCAGACTCGAGTATTCACAGCCCGCCAACACATAGCTGCAATTTTGCTGAGGGCGGCGTTAAACTACAATCAAACATTTCACAATCCAACTCTTATCTGACAAACAATTAAGGTTGAAGGACCCAACTATAGCTATATCTTTTTTTTTCACGTGTACATTTATATGCAGACGGTTCCCAGTCTAATTACAGACTGACTTGTAAAGCAGTGTGCGGAGTATTCGCACCTGTGTCGTTAATCTTAGTGATTCATCTGGGCCTGCCACTCGGCGGGCGGACTAACTTGCCCGCCATACCAGCTTTACCCAGCATCTCACACACTTCGGTGTCTGTCATCCCTCCTAATTTCACAACCCACAAGATAACACCCCAGACTGCTTCTGGTTTAGTAGAGAGTGTAACGACGAACTATTTTTATGGATTAACATTAATTTCGTTTTGACTGCTTTATGTCCACTATTATTGTTACTTACTAGAACGTGACGTCACCTTGCCAGGTGTAACAAAACACTCTGCTGACCTTGAACGCGTTAGTTATCCCTTCTCTCGTAATTTACTAATGAACTGCTAGTTTCAACAAACACATGACGATGATGCTCGGGGAAAGGTTGTACAGATTTGCTTCGATCTGGAGCAACGAAAGCGATACTGTCACCATACAATAATCGCGTCGTAAGATCACAACACAATGGATGCATTGTTTGTTTGAACATATTTTATTCAGTATTGAAAGGGTTTGGGCACAAGTTATTCAACTTATTAAAGCCCGTTCCCGACAATAATATGGAAAAATATAATGTAATGGGCAATGAACAGAGGCAAGACATGTTACAGATTACTTGAAACGCTTACTACGTACAATGAATTTATGGACTTGACTAAACATATCTTCATTTACAGTTTTATGGGACCAAGGCTGCCGTACAGAATGGTGTTAATATATAAGCTAACTTTTAGGAGTTCAAAGCCTTGTATTAAATCAAACCGGCAGCTGACATACTTTGGACATTTTATAAAGAAATGATTGGCATGATCTACCAGAGCTTTAATTTCAGATGAATTGACACGAAAAGGATCAGCATCTAAAGAACTATACATGAATGTCTGAACTTAGCGTGTAGAATTTTAATCTTCCTTTCACCAAATAGGAAATATTAGGAGTTCTATCAATTTTTTTCAGACAATTTAAAATTCATAAATGGATGTATTGAAAATGAACTGGAAAATACTATCTAATGACAATGCGCGCTAAGTTCACAAGCCGTAGGTGGATAAGTTTATGGAAATGAAGGTTCTAGATTTTGTATATAAAGTGACAATGGTACTTGCCAATTCTGGTTTCATGTCTTGCATATGAAACATGTGTTGGTTAGCGGACAAGATTCCACTCAATTAGCCCGTCTTTCGTAAAGCCTACGCCCTAAGGCTGACTTACGTTAGTCGTAACCCTAAGAGAGTGCGCATTCCAACACGCATGCTTCAGATGCCCCACTCGGATACTGGGATTACGAAATCCATACAGCTGGACTTCGTTTACCAAATATTTCTGCAAGATATTGACATGCTGCAAGTCTGTATCAAAGAATTGGAATTACGCAGACTCTCTTCACAGAACCCCTGGTCACCTATGGTCGAGCTACGACTATGGTGCTCCCATGCTACAGCAGTTCGCTATTGTACCACGAGAATGGACACAGACCTAACCCATCATCCGTAATAGAAATCTGTACGCTGCGACTGATGTTAGTCCTATGCATGATATACCTTTCGATAACTTCAGCGTTAAGGTCACTTTAAGCAAATGTGCCTCAAATAACTTAACGACAAAACAAACACAGATAAATGATCCGCTAGTGTTGCAAATGTATTAGCCCCGAACAGTAATTTCACAACGTCTGGGTACGTTAGAGGCTAACATTAAGATTATGTCTTCTCTATAAGTCGCAGTTATAGAGTGAGTGAGTGAGTGAGTGAATGAGTGAGTATGGTTTTACGCTGCTTTTAGCAATATTCCAGCAATATCACGGCGGGGGACACCAGAAATCGGCTTCACATATAGTACCCATGAGGGGAATCGAACCCGGGTCTTCGGCGTGACGAGCCAACGCTTTAACCACTGGGCTACCCAACCGCCCCAAGTGGCATTTAGAAGCTGCCATCTGGTATGATAAAGAGCATTTTTTTACTGATTAGATCACTTTATTGCAATAGATGGAGATGCTATCGCCGATATATCGCTCCAATTACAATAAAGTAGCTGTCTTTCCATAAACAATGTTCCTCTTCAAGAGGAAAATTGGTAAACACATTCTGCGTTAGGCCAACACATTTAATTAGATATAGTGGATAACATCGTCCTGACCGAGATCGAGCCCATACCTGACGCACCATGCAGTGGTTGACAGCCTTGACAAAGTACGTTTCAGTGACGAGGTCTGAAGATACCACAAGGACGTGACCTGTGCTACAGATACAACCTTCTCCCATCAAACACAAGAACTGACACTTATCTTGACCAGATTGTTACATCTCGCCATACCTTCGTCTCTAAGTCTGACTAAATAATCACCACTTGACCCCTGACCTCGTTCAAGATTAATCGCAGTAAAATTCAAACAGCGGATTTAATTTCAACTACGACCTCCTTAACTTTCCAGGAAAGATAAAACTGTTTACAAACACACAAGTCTGGGAGCATAGCCATTTTGTTGAACAGAGATGTGTCATATGTGATGAAAAGCACCTCCGGAATACAACGATACTTGTCTGAGACCTTTTTCATTCATCACGATTTTTTCCACGGCCTTCACAATGTTGACGAGGATTCAAACTGTTTAAATATGAAATTAAAACGGAAGGATCACGGTTTATGAAGTTTCCAGATATGTGTAATATTTCACAACCCATTTGTTAGATTTTAATGCTGAGCGTCCCGAGATGCTCACCAGTCTATATGCCCCATATAAACAGTAATAGTCACAAACAGTCACAGAGTAACGGAGCATACAAGCTGAAGTCCCTATCAGTAAACACATATGATTACACAATGCCATTTAGAAAGTGGTCAAATGTAACATGTGTTATATTTGGGATTACACTTTCTTAGTAAAGTACAAATTCTAGTACTTTTTGAGTTGAGCCCCATCCGGGATTCGAACTCACACCCTCAGAGTCAGGCACCCAATCGCCAGCACACAAAGTCAGCCGCCTAACCCACTCAGCTACCGCGACTTCCACAAAAATGGAAGTCGGACAACTGGTAGTCTAGACTGTGGGCTTTGTGTACCCCTCTGATAAGTGTTAATTGGCACGGCTCCCACGGCCGAAAGCTATGATTACACAATGCCATTTAGAAAGTGGTCAAATGTAACATGTGTTATATTTGGGATTACACTTTCTTAGTAAAGTACAAATTCTAGTCTAGTCTAGACTACCAGTTGTCCGACTTCCATTTTTGTGGAAGTCGCGGTAGCTGAGTGGGTTAGGCGGCTGACTTTGTGTGCTGGCGATTGGGTGCCTGACTCTGAGGGTGTGAGTTCGAATCCCGGATGGGGCTCA